GATTCACACCAAACTTCTTACAATCGTATCTGTCGTAGACGATCAGCCAGCGGATGTCGAAGCGGCGGCACATCTCGAAGAGGTAATCGGTTTCCTCGCGTGACCATTTTGGGTGGCGCATGCAAGCGTTGTACTCGTCATCGGTGTAGGTTACGACGTCGATGGACTGGAAAATTGAGGGTTTAAGAGGTAAAAAGCCAAAAATGATAGATTTCAGGTACCTTATTGAATTTCGCGAACGGATACGGGGTTTCTGGATCGATCCTATCACTGCGGACCCAGTGATGAAGCTGGAGACCGTCTTCCCTTCCCTCATTGATGAATGGCATCCATTTGTACTTTCGAACCGCTCGGAAGCCAGTCTACAACATTTTTTCATTTTTTTTTTGAAAGAAATTCAATAGAGTTTGAGTTTTTATACCTGAAACTTTTGCTTGTAAGTCTTCTTGACATCCGTCGGCATAACCGACGTCAAATCTTTGCCGGCAATCAAATTGAACAGCTCGCGCTTCATGCCTTCCGGCTTTTTCTGTATCTGCCCGGCTTTCGGCGTCTTCTTCACATTGCTAGTTGACGGTTCTGAGCATTGGAGTATTTGTTGAACATCTCCGATCATCTGAAATTTGAAAAATTCTTTTTTTTTACATTTTTTTTCTGAAGAAATTTCGACAAAAAACGTATTTTCTTAGGTTTTCACTTGAGAAACATACTTTTTCCTATTCATTAAGCATATTTTCGTCGAAAATAGCTTACAATCAACGAAAAAACAAGAAAATAACGTTCAAAACCGCAAAAAATGAAGAAAAATGGCGCTTTTTGAGAAAAAGGCAAACGCGCTCCGCTGGACATTTGGCTGTTAGATCTGCAGGTCTTGGCGTATACTGTTGCGTTGGCTGAGTACTCAACGTTTAACCATTGTGGATTTTTTGGGTGGCTAACGATTTTTTGAAATTTGCTCGTTTTGATTCTTTTTTTCATGAATTTCACCGATTTTGAACGCAAATTTTTCATTTTTATTGATTGTTTTGTTGTGAAAGAGTCGGAATCATATTAATTCACACGTTTTCTCGTAATAATCGTTTAAAATTAATGGAAAATTGACAAATTTTTGATTTTCAGCAATCAACCTGGCAATAGAGCACAGAAAGGCTAAAATCAAAAGATAGCAGTCCTTCAAAGCTCTTTAAACTCTACTTCAAATCAAACATGGTGAGTTATTGATTTTTTGAGCCACGTGGACAGCTTTGGTGGTGTTTTTGAACCTGATAACCCGTAACTTCCGGTTCTCAATAATTATTTTTTTCAGGCTGTCGCTTTCAAGAATGAGAAGGCCCTCACCGATAACTCGGAGCACCGCATCCGTTTGACTCTGACCTCCCAAAACGTCAAGCCACTTGAGAAGGGTTAGTTTAGATTTTTTTTCTCATCTTTACTTGCTTCAAACCGGATTTTTCTTCAGTCTGCGCTCAACTCATCGACGGAGCTAAGAACGAGCACCTCATCGTCAAGGGCCCAATCCGCATGCCAACCAAGGTTCTCCGCATCACCACCCGCAAGACTCCATGCGGAGAGGGATCCAAGACCTGGGATCGCTTCCAAGTAAGAATTTTTCTTCAAACTATAGTCGTGCATTGGCAAAGAGAGAAAGCGTCACGTGAATATTGATTTCTCGTACGTATCCATTTTTCTTTCGCTGTTGCTAGGCAACATTCATGTGACTGGCGAGAGGGAGAAGCACATTTCTGAGAATTTTCTGATCAATAAAAATTTCTTCTTTCAGATGCGCATCCACAAGCGTCTCATCAATCTTCATGCTCCAGCTGAGGTTCTCCGCCAGATCACTTCGATCTCCATCGAGCCAGGAGTCGACATTGAGGTCACCAGAGCCGATTAAGCACCTTGGTGCGGCTGCAGACGGGTAACCGGCTCGACGTTCATCACATCATCCGCGACCTTCTTTCCTATTACCCTTGTTTGTTGCTGCCACTATTTGGTTTTGATTTGTTGTGTTGAAAGTCTTATGAACTAAAAATCCATAAAACTTTTATTTTATAACGTGTCTTACTTTCTACACCACACATAGGTATACATCCTACATAGATATCTAATCAGTTGGAAATACACAACGAACGCATGCAACTATTTCTCAATTTTTTAAGAATGATGAGTTCCACACAAAGACAAGGACCAACAGATCAGGAGTGTCCGATCTGTACCTGTGAGATGGTCCTGCCGACGGCGATTCCGGCGTGCGGACACAAGTTCTGCTTCATATGCCTGAAAGGTGTAAACATGTCGAATCTGGGCGGATGCCCGATCTGTCGCGGTCCGATCGACGACAAGATTTTCAAGAAGCCCAAACAGGCGTTGGATCTGAAAATGGATGTGCCCGAGGCAGCAGCAGCGGCAGCCGCTTTGGCGCAACAACCATCAACAAGCACATCAAGTACGCTCCAACAGATTTTCAACAGTGTCACTCAGTTTTTTGCATTTTCAGCAGCAGCCGGCGATAAAAAAGTGAAACAGGAGCCAGTTGACGAGGACGTGAAGCCAGACGTGGCGGCGTTGAACGCTCAAATGAGGGCTCAGGCAGCGCCCGCGCCTCCGCCACCACAACCAAGAATGTACTGGCTGTATCACGGACGTCATCAGGGATGGTGGCGATTCGATCCACGCATCGAAAAGGACATCGAGGAGGCGTTCGTGAGCCTGATGCCGGTGACGGAGGTCACCATTTGTGGCCATCCGTACGTCATCGATTTCTCGAAAATGTCGCAGTTTCCGAAGAATAGTCGTGGAAGTGCGCGCGAAGTGAAGTGAGTTTTTTTTTCAGATTGTTTGCTGTTGAAAAACGGAAAATTGATCGGAAAGCGGTATAGAAACGTCGTTTTTTCTCAAAATGTTCTAGAGATTTCGGAGGTTTCGGCGCTTTGGCAGCTCATTTTCTGTGGAGAAAACGGGAAATCGATCGAAAAGCGACATCAAAACGTCGTTTTTCTCTAAAAATGTCGGAGGTTTCGGCGCGGAGAATTTTTTGTATCTTTCGAAAACTTATGAAGACGGCGCGCCCCCGGCGCTTTGGCACCATCTTCTCTGCTAGTGAACATGAAAATCGATAAGTAAACTTGAAGCTTCTGCCGCTGAAATTCACGGTTATTGAGCAGTTTTTGCATTGCTCAGTTCACATGGATGAACAGGCGGACTGGTTGCTTAGTAATAGTCCGAACGACGCGCCACAGGCTCAGTCTGATCGACAAACTCAGTGTTAGTTGGGATAAGCTGAGAAACGCGCTTCTTCCGTTTTAGTTTCATTCAATACATCAATTTGGTCAAAATCCATTTCTAAAACGATTAGTTTGCCGAATATTGATTAGGAAAAAACGTAATTTTCAGATAGTTTTCTAAAATTCTGAGCTGCAATCATTCTTTTTTTTTTCGAAGAATCACGGAATAAACTGACAATTTTGGCCGAAATTTTCCGTTTTGAACTCGCTATTCAGTTAATCGAAGCCTAACCATTTTCACCCAGATTTAGTCAAATATGGCTCAAAATTGACAAAATGCTATCAATCTGAGGCCGTATTCATGAACATTTTCAGAGTGAAAACCACCGCTCTCCGTTTTTCCCCGAAAGTGTTTCTGATGAAAATCGAGTCATTCATGGCGCGATTCCGCTCTTATCGACAGAAATTCCACCACAAGTTTTGATCAAAATGCGGCTATTTCCACCTAAAATCCGCAACTTTAGGCAAAAGTCTTGCCCGTATATATAAATTTCCGCCAACCTATATTGAAAAACCCAGTTTCCCATGCTTGTGACGGGCCGGGCCTTCCCATTAATTGCCAAGCCCCGGACCCGGAAGATTACCGTGAATTTTGAAAAATGGAAAAAACATTTCCAAATTTTGTGCTCCAAAGTTATATTGAGCATAAAAACAATATTTTGATGAATTTTCAGTGAAAAATATGAATTTTTTCTAAAAAAAATTCAAAATTGTTTGAATCTGGGCCTCCGAGCCGGGCCGAAATTTCACGAGTGTGCTAATAACCTAGTTTTCTCTTTCCAGACGTGTCAACAGCGACGAGTTCGACGCGATGAACGTGAAAGGATTGGCCGGCGTCTTTGCATCCCGTTCATAGAGAAGATCGCCACCATTGTACCATCAATGTCACCACCACCTAATAATTTTTAACTCTTTTTTTGGCTTTTTTTCCGTATTAATTATTTCATTTTCCTTCCTCTTCATCTCTCTCCTCCCACTCGAATAACTACGGCTTTCTTTCTTACTTCTCTTTCATTCAATTCTTGCACATTCATCCTCTAAGGTCTCTGGTTACACTAATATGATAATCAAAAACGGGAAAATGCTCTATTCTTCGGGAATAATCGTAGTATAAAGCCCCCAGAATAGGTCATTTCCAGGTTCCGCGACTTTTCGAAACCGAAAAAAAAAAGTTTGAAATTTTATTTTGCTCTAATTTTCCAGAAAATCGATTAAAATCGAGTCGAAAAATTTGAAAATTCCAATTGTTTCAAAATGCCGCGGAACCTCATTTCCAGCCCCCCACCACCACCACTATCATTGCTGTATCTTTTTTCGCTTCTTGAGCTAGAATATGATTTGCTTTATATACATAAAAACTTTCTTTTCAAAAAAGAGAACCAGGAGGACACCTGGTACTCGTCGCTTTCCCTTTCACAACCGTCCCGCTGACCTACTTGTACTGGTCAACCTTGCGCAGCGGAATAGCGCGCATTTCGTTTTTTTTGGATTTGGAGAAGCGTTTCTTTCCAGTTTTCTCCCAATGAAACACTTACACAAATCCATATTCGATTTTCCTTCTGAATTTTTTCAGTTTTCCTCAAATTTTTCGATTTTTTTTAGAGAAAAATGTCCGGTGACATTTTGCAAGAGGCATTCAATGCGACGGTTTCGAGGGATTATGAAAAGTGAGTTTTTTTATTTGAATTCGAAAGAAAAAAAGAAAAAAAAACAATTTGACCCCGATGGGGATCGAACCCGCGTTGAATATTTCCAAAACGGTAGCGTTAACCGCTAGGCCATGAGGTCAACAAAATCAACAGGTGAAGAGAGCGTACAGGAAACTGCCGCTTCCCTCTCTTTCTCGCCGGGACGCTTGATTCATTATCAGGAAGATAGAAAAAAAATGAAAATGAAAAAAGTTTTCGTGGCGAGACCCAAATATATTCCAGAGCGGTCACCGTCATCCGTGAAGTCCTCTCAAGCACCACCAATCATTCGTTCAATGTGGAACAGCTGGAATTGATTGATCACGTCTATTCGTGTATTCTGAATACAAGTCATTATGATGAATCGCTAATTGATGTAAGGGGTAGATCAAAAAGTGAATTATCGATTGGTAAAAATTCGTATGCAACGGTATACAGTTAGAGGGGTAAAGACCAGGAAAAACTAGAATAACTACCGTAAGCCCTTTAACTCAGACAAGTACAGTACTGTAGGTTCCGAGCAGCATATCTCGGTTGTCTTCGAAGCTATTAAAAAGGTGTCAACTAAGGAAATGTTGAGCAAATAATTTTGAACATTTCTTTAGTTGATCACTTTTTGATAGCTTCAATGGCAACCGAGATATACTGCTCTGAACATGGAAGACCGGATGCACCATGTGGTATCCGTTGTTCTATATTCCAAGCAGCAGATCTCGGTTGTCTTTGAAGTTATCAAAAAAAATTTTAACTGGTAAAATGTTTAAAACTTTGTGCTTTATATTTCTTCCGTTGACAACTTTTTGATAGCTTCAACGGAAACCGAGATATACGGAATTCCAGGTCTGCTGGGAATGGATAGACGCCATCGAGCGGAGCCCCAGGACTGTGGACATTCGTGCAGTGTCCAGCTCCCAGTTGAGCATCTACTACGCCTATCACACCATCTGTCGGGTCCAGGAACGAATGCCACGTAAGCCAACGTATCAGCAGTTGCGGCAGGAGACCTGGACACGGGTCACCCATAGTTTTAGGTATGTTTTTTTACTGGGTAACTTTGGTCAGATTTTTCTGTGATTTCCGGAATCAGGAGGTCAAGGCGGTTCAGAAAAGTATAAACATGACTAGGTTCCGAGAATTTTGAGTTTTGATCTACCTATTCGTGTCGAGACCCAAAAATCAAAAATTTTCAGAACTTAGTCATGATTATACTCATTTGAACCGCCTTAACCAGCTGATTCTGAATATACATTTTTCTTTTGAATCCCACCAAAACTAAGCGAAATATGGTCATTTTTAAGATTTCGTGGCGAGACCCAAAAATAAAAAAAATTTCAGAACCTAGTCATGATTTTACTCATTTGAACAGCCTTGATGAGCCGATTCTAAGTATACCTTTTTTGTTTGGATCCCACCAAAACTAAGCGAGATATGGTCGTTTTTAGGTTTTCGTGGCGGGACCCAAAAAATAGGAAATTCTTGGAAACCTAGCCATGACTATAATCATTCGAACCGTCTTAACGAGCTGATTATGATTATACACTTTTTGTTTGGATCCCACCAAAACTAAGCGAGATGCGATCGTTTTTAGGATTTCGTGGCGGGACCCAAAAATGAAAAAATTTTCAAACCCTAGTCATGATTATACTCATTTGAATCGTCTTGAAGAGCTGATTCTTAATATCATAGTTTTGTCAAAATCGGACAAGAATTCACCGGATTACGATGACGGTCCCGTCAAAAAATTTTTCGCTTCGAGACCCAGAAAACTTCCGCTATTATCGATTGATTTCAGCTATCTCTGGGCAGCCGCCACGCAACTCTGGAAACCCCATGAGCTCGATCGCCTAGACATCCTTTGCAGTTGGTCATATTTGTGTCTTCAGTTCTCGGATGTTGTCACGGATGAGGTGCTAGGCGTTGTTGAGGTAAGCGCGGCATTGTAAGCGCCCTCTTGACCTTTTTCCGAATTGGCGGCGGTGGCCTAGTGGCTAACGCATTTGCTTTTGAAACTAGAGGTCGTGGGTTCAATTCCTTCAGTGGGCAAAATGTTTTTTTTTTCTTTTTTCTTTTCTCCAATACCAATTTTGACCAGTTTTAGTCCGCCAAAGACACCTCCAAAGAGCTGCTCTCCAACGTTATCGTCATTGAAAATGGGCACCAGGCCAATCAACGTCTTCTGACTGTGGAGCGGAATATCCGGGACTCCAGAGCGTTGGCCGAGAAGTGGAGGAGATCTAATGTGAGTTTTTGGAATGGGAAAAAATAGAGTTGGGGACGAGGGTTGTGGGAAAAGAATAATTTCGAAAATTTTCGGAAAAAAATTTTTTCCGAAAAAAATTTTTTTTTCGGAATTTTTCGGAAAATTTTTGTTCCGGAATTTTCCAAACATTTTTATCAAATTTTTTTGATGAAAAACCGATAAGAAACCGGTTAAATCATCGGAGAAAAACACAAAAAATTCAACTTCTTTCGAAAAACTTGTCCTCGCAGACTACACGAGCGAAATTCTCACTACCGTCATTTTGCGCGGTAGTTTCAAAAAACAAGTCGCTTTCTTCATTATTTTTTGTTTCGTGCTATTAGGTTTCGAAACGGCAAAAATTTTAAAAACAAAATTTTGAAAAAAAATTTCGAAAAATTTACCGGCAAAAAAAAAATTTTTTTTTGTATTTTTTCGGAAGATTGTTTTTCCTCAATCTGAAAATTGTTGTTCCGCAATTTTCGACGTTTTATTCATCAACTTTTTCATGAAAAACCGAAGAAAAACCGTCAAAAACATTGAAAAAAACGCAAAAAAACACGTTTTCTTACGAAAAACTTGTCCACGCAGACTACACGAGCGGAGATTTCGGGGGCCGTCATTTTGAGCGGTATTTTGAAAATACGAATCGCTTTCTTCATGGCTTCTTTCTTCATTTTTTTCTATGGTTAATCGGTTTTGAAACGGCAAAAAGTTTCAAAAAAAATTTTCTGGAAAAAAAATTTCAAAAAAAAAATTTTCTGAAAAAAAATGTTTTCCGACGTTTTGGTACGAAAAAAAACCGAAAAAACATTTTTTTTTTCGAAAATTTCCATCAATTTTTAATGAAAAACCGATAAAAACCGATGCGAAACCGATTTTAAAATTTGTCCTCGCAGACTACACGAGCGGAAATTTTTTCGGGCCATTATTTTGCGCGGTACTTTGAAAAAAATCGCTTTCTTTAAGATTTTTTCAGGTTTTCCAATGATTACTCGGTTTTGAAACGGCGAAAATAAATTTAAAAAAAAAATTTTTCGCGAAAAAAAAATATCTGAAAAAAAATTTCGAAAAAAATTTTCTGAAAAAAATTTTTTTTTCGGGCAAAAATCATTGCACAGCTCTACTCACGACAATTAACCTCATTCCAGACCGACGTTCATCCTCCTCGACCATCCTCAGAAACCCAACTCCGAGTGGAGTCCTCCTCCTCCACAATATCCATCTCCCCGCCAATGCCAAAGAAATGGTGTGGAAGTGAGGGAAGGGAGAGGAGTTAATTTTTGTATTCATGTATTTTTTTCATTTGCAAACTACAAAAAAAAATCCAATAAAACAAAAAAGCAAAGAATAATTATCCATCCCTCCAAAAAGTGATATCATTTTATCGTTTCCGTCCCTTTCCCCCCATGACGAGTCAAGAGACCAAAGATTTTCAGGTTTTACAGGTTTTTTGCTGCTGAAAAAAGGACAAAAAACGAGATATTATGGGGAGAGAGAGGCGGATGGTTATTTATGGATGGTGGTGGCGAAAAGGGGGCGTGTCGGTTCAAAAAGATTCGATATCGATTGATCGAAAATTGTATCGGAATCGTTGAGAAATGGAGGTAGATACTCAACTGCTATGAGGGCGATCAACTGCTACAACTTATGGATCAACTGCTATAGCCATAGCAGTTGAGAGCGCCGAAATTAGCAGTTGATCCATAGCAGAAGAGCCAGTTATAGCAGTTGAGACACTAGCAATAGCAGTTGAGACAATAGCAATAGCAGTTGAGACAATAGCAATAGCAGTTGAGACAATAGCAATAGCAGTTGAGACAATAGCAATATCAGAAGAGCCAAATATAGCAGTTGAGACAATAGCAGTTGATCACCCCCATAGCAATTGAGAAATAGCAGTTGAGTATCTACAAAGATGTGTTCTCTGCAAATTTGATATCTCATAGTCCGTCAAACTGATTGTTTGGTCTTTTACATGATTCGTTGTCTGATCCAATTCATAGGGAGTGAGGTAGCGTGTGAAAATCATTAATCGAAGACTCCACGTTTTTTGATTTTTTGGTGATTTTGTCGGTGACTTTTTTTGGAACTAATCTCTCAATTGCTATGAGTGAAATAGCAGTTGATCCATAGCAGAAGAGCCAAATATAGCAGTTGAGACACTAGCAGTTGATCACCCCCATAGCAGTTGAGTATCTACCTATTTTCTCAAGTGCTATGTAGTGATCTTGTGCTATGTGGGAAGTGTTATTGTCTCATGTGCTATAATTGGCTCTTCTGCTATGAATCAACTGCTATTTTTGTCACTTTTTTTGGCTCTATTGCTATGATCATAGGCTCAAGTGCTAGAAAAATCAGAGCACAAGAGGACAAAAATAGCACTTGATCCATAGCAGAAGAGTCAAACTTAGGAAAAATTTGCATGTAGCAAAAGATTATCTCATAGCACTTGAGTATTTGCCCAAAGGGGCAAGTACTCAACTGCTATTTATCTGTATTGCTATTTCTCAACTGCTATGGGGGTCATCAACTGCTACGTTGTAACTTCTAGTATCTCAACTGCTATATTTGGCTCTTCTGCTATAGATCAACTGCTATTTTCGCTATTTTTGTTGTCTCAACTGCTATGGCTATTTTCTCAACTACTACAGCTATAGCAACTGATCCATAGCAGAAGATCCAAATATAGCAGTTGATCACCCCCATAGCAGTTGAGTATCCGCCCAACACAGTGCTTTAACATATCAACTACAGTACCGTTCAAAAGTAAATGAACACCTCCATCGATTATAGCTGATTTAGGCCAACTTTGAGCAAGCACCAAATGGTCAAAAAATTTTCTACAGCTCCAAAAAATTGTTTGCATATCAAGCATGACTAGAACTCCATTTTTGTAGTTTACCACTTTTTTGTGCAACCACTCTCCCGGCAGATAGAGCTCGCCCAGAACGACTACCTTGGAAATCGCTAGAGCCCTCACTTGACCAAGCTCTATCTCCCGGGAAAGTGGTCGTACAAAAAAGTTGTCAACTACAAAAATGAATTCCTAGCTATGCTTGATACGCACAAAAATTTTTGGAGCTATAGAAAAATTTTTGACCGTGTGGCGCATGCTCAAAGTCACCCTAACTAAGCTGAAATGAATTAAAAACCCGGAATACTGTATCGACTTTTAAGGGGGCGTGGCTTGCTGGAAAAGCTGAAATCTGCTAAAAAACGGTTCTAGTTCCCATTTTTCTATAAATAAATTTTTTTATTTCCACACCCTCCTCCCATAAATATCATCATCATTATCACTTCTTTCCCAATGTCACATCTTCATCTCTGTTCCCTTCCCTTCCCCATCATCATCATTAAACCTATCATCTCCGTCATTTTTCCATTTTCCTTTTTGACGAAAAAAAAAAATACGAAAAATTGTAATGTAACCCTCTGTCTTTCTCTCTACCATCTCCTCCAAAAAATTTTTTTGCCCCTGTCGTCGATTCGAATGGTTTTTATATACGATTTCTCGTTTTTGACCGCTTGACGATTTGAAAAATGATGTCACCCCCTCTAAAGGGGGGAAAACTGACCAGATCAATGTGTTGTGTCTCGATATGACACTTTTCACTTTTTCTTATAATGCCTTGCAAATATTTTTCCATCCTACCCCGGTCGCTCTCGAGACGTAAGCCGTTCTGAAGGTCGTCAAAGTTTTGCCCATGCATAGAGATGGATTATTCTCTGAACTTTTTTTTTGATCTACCCTACCGTAAACCTGTGATAATATTGATTTTTTTAGATGAATTATTCTCTGAACTATTTTTTTGATCTACCGTAAACCTTGATTGAATTTCTGATAGCATCGCTAGCCCTTCTAGATTTAGTGTCGGAGAAGAAACATTGCTCACAATGAAACTAACCTAAAAAAAAAAAATTTTTTGTAAAAATCCAAAAAATAGCAAATGAGTTTTGTGAATAAGAGGATCCTAACCAGGGCTGTGCGGAAAAAAAAATTTTTTTTTCGAAAATTTCGGACGAAAATATTTTTTTTCGCACAGCCTGATCCTGACTACCAGCCCCATAAGGAATTTCTTTACATATGACCTTACATGACAAGTGACCCCCAGTCAAAACCTGCAAGAGCGCCTGTGACGCGGCACCCAGTCTTCTAACTTGAAGACCCCCTCGAAAACCACCTGTTCACAGTAGCGATATATTGTTTGTTACAAAACAAACATTAGAACAGCGAACTTGGTGTGAAAAACACATTCCGACAAATGTTGAAGACAACAGAATTTTTTGTTTTGTCCGATTTTGAGTCATAAGTTCTTTACAAATTTTCTTTCCTAGCAATTACGATTTTGAGATTACTTGAGCTAGTTTTTAAAGATATTTAGTGTCTACGGTACCGTCCAAGAAAAATACTCGTATTTTTCAGTAGATTTTAGCTGATTTATGCTGACTTTGAGCATGCTTCACGTGGCCAAAAATTTTTCTACGGCTCTGAAAATTTTCGGACGTATCGAGCATGACTAGAAATGCATTTTTGTAGTTGGCAACTTTTTTGTGCAACCATTTTCCCGGCAGATAGAGCTCATCCAAAATAACATTTCGAAAGTCGTTTATGGGATATTGGACGATTACGCGAGCCCTTCATTTAACGAGCTCTATCTGCCGAGAGAGTGGTTGTACAAAAAAGTTGTCAGCCACAAAAATGAAGTTTTTTTGGGGCTCTAGAAATTTATTCGACTGTGTGATGCATGTTCAAAGTCAGCCTGAGTCGGCTGAAAAACGGGGTGTTCATTTACTGTGTTGT